CAAAAGCATAAGGTATCAAAATATGTTATATAAATACATAGAATAATAAAAAGAATTAAAAAAAATGTTAACATTAAAAATAGATAAAAAAACAAAGTGCGGTATTCCTTCCCGGGGATAGACGAGGGTGGAAAACTCTTGGGAAGGGCTATGTAAGTATATAATTGTTTAACATATCTTAGTCCTGCCTCGAAAGTAGTATTTTTTCCTATTATTATCAAAAATAGCGGAAGTAGGTAGAATCCTTTCCTAATAGGGAGTAAATACGATACTTTATGCGGGAAGAAACGGTATGAAATCAGGGAATGTATCTTACTTTCAGTAGAGGTATGGTAGAAAACGAATTATTACAATTTATCAAAAAGTATAATAACTATAATACAACCTGCATTTCACTCAAAAAAGTGAAAAAAAAGCGATTTAAAAATACTACCGAGGTGGTTAATTTAATATAAAACAATACACGGAACTTTTCGAAGTATTTCGAAAATGCCATTGAGTAGTTGATGACTGTGTGATTTGTTTTAATGTCCCAACTGTTATTTTTAATGTAGTTCCCATAAGCCTCTAATTATATTGGTCTAGTTTGTTCTATATACTTACTTCAGCCACCTTATTTATTTCTTTATTTGTCAGATAAATCTCTGGGCAAGTACGGTTTCGAAAATTAACATATAAGAGATAATTTGGAACATAATTAGCATAAGGCTTTCATTCACGTTTTGCTGTTGTGAGTCGGAAGATATCGACCGATATCTGAATAATCTACGTAAAACAAACCAGTTAGTGTCTCGTTATCCATGTCGAGGAAGTCGAAGATAGTTTGAAAGGAGTCGGCTCTCTTTTACTTTTTAAGATTTACGACTTGCAACTGTTCACAGAGAATTGTTTAAATAACTCACCTCCAGAAATACGGTTACCCAAATGACGTTAAAGATGCAGAAAACGGGAAGTGTCTCTATCGAGACCAGCAACTGCACAAATCCAAGAAACGTCGGAAAGAGTAATGCCGTTGTATAAAAACCCAAAAAGGTGAAATAAAGCGCAATAGATTCTCCGAAGTAGATCTTTATCTCATCTGGAATAAAACGATTCCGCGTAAATGCCTCATCCAGCTTTTATTATTACAGTAACTCTCCTCTTATTCTGGGTTTAATAAAATAAAAAATTAAAATTGTTTACTGAGATGTTAAATAACTATCTCTTTAGGTACCTACTAGTTAACTGAAAGCATTAATAATTACATTTGTCTGTCAGCTTTTATTGCAGAACTGTTTTTTAAAAGAGAAATCAAACACTCAGTCTTAAATTAATTTCAAAGTATGGGCAGTATATAGCCATCTGTTGATATTTTGATGCTAGCTACAGAATTGGATTTGGTCTATAATCTTCGCTCAGGTGATTCGTTTTTTACCTGTTTGATTTTATTATTGATAAATAATTTATGATTCTTGTTATAGGCTAGGTTTCGGCAAATACAAGGTGCTCAGAAAGAGTAGGGGGTATCTTTTGTATCTGCGCTGTCCTTGTAACGGCGCTGTTCGAAGGGGTGCGGTAGACATAGTAGGTTGTTTCACTACGATTCGAGAGGACGCCGGTTCGATTCCGGGTCCGTCTGCCTTGGTCCAAGTTTTTCTGTGGTTTCCTTGGATCACTTAGGCAAATGCTGAGGCAGTAATATTCCACAGATAATCTTTTATTCTCTTCTGTCTTCATTTCGTCCGTCCCATCTTTCTCAACCGAACGACCACCCACCCATTCCCACGATTCCTGAAAGCAGGCTGAAGAGGGCCTTCCGACCTACCTTCCGGCGTAGTCCGGAGGGACTGCATTACTGGCTGGTGGGAATGAAACACCCAAAAGTTTTTTTTTGTTTTAGTACCCGGAAGACCATCGTGCTTTTTGCGAATGCACTTATTATGGCAATGGTGATTCGATGATCACACCTTAACGATTATTTCAGGCAAAACTCAATGTACGGAATGCACTGAAGGACGATACCTCGACGATTCGAATTTTTAAAAATATCGGTTCGACTGCAAAAACTTACAATCTAGGTCGCCCGAGTTCTGTTCGAACCCAACAAAGGATTGAAGAAATGAGAGTGTGAGCGTGAAAATCCGTCTCAATCAGTTTGAAAACACAGTCAAGAACTTCACATTAAAAAAATGTCGTTCTAGAAGATCTTGAAGCAAGATTGACGTCTTACAGCCTATAAAATTCAGTTTGTTCAAAAACTGAACGTTACCGATTAAGATTTTTTTTTCTGATTTGTAGTTTTCTTTAGTGAATTTACAAACACCCCCTATCCTTTCTGGGCACCCTATAAAACAACTGACAATAGTTTATAGTTATCTACCTGCATTTACTGACTTTATTTTTTGGAATACGCAAACTATTAATTAATATTTGTGTTAGTAGCAATGACAGTTCTGGACCAAAATCCCATGTATTTTCTCATGAAGGTTCATTTTCCTTTCTGTGCTGTTTTACCCTTTTAACGCCTACTCTGATGTCACGATCGTCACCCATTTTTGGCATAAGGAGCACCTTATGATTAGGAAAGTAACAGATGAAGGGACTTTAGGGGGCTGGAGCACCCCCAGTAGGGGCGGGTCGAAGCCCTGGCTGACGATGACAGCTGTCAAATATGGATGATGACTAGGGTTGCCACCCGTACTTTATTATAAAGTATTGTACTCTATTTCGACTGTGCGTACGTTATACTTTACAAGACACATAAAGTACGTAAAAATACTTTATTTAAGGTCTTAAGTAAACATCGTAATTTTGTAATCGATTATTCGAAATTCAGAGTATTTTTACATCAATAATACTGCACAGAAAAATGGCAAACCATATTTAAACGGATCAACATGATTTCCCAAATCTAATCAAAGTAGTGTCACTTTTGCTGTCCGTTCCGGCCACTTCAGCATTTACAGAAAGAGTATTCTATATTATGAACGCAAAGTGGCCGGACGACAGGAACAAAGCTTCATTAAAACTAATTAAAAATGAACTTTTAGTTTACTTAAATCTTTGTTTGCCATGTTTAGAGGATATTAATGTATTTAAGAGCGACAGCAATTTGTTACTGGCTGCTAGGTGTAACAAAAAATATGTTTTTAAAAACAAAAAATAAAATACTTTNGTTGCCACCCGTACTTTATTATAAAGTATTGTACTCTATTTCGACTGTGCGTACGTTATATTTTACAAGACATATAAAGTACGCAAAAATACTTTATTTAAGGCCTTAAGTAAACATCGTAATTTTGTAAGCGATTATTCGAATATTTTTACATCGATAATATTGCACAGAAAAATGGCAAGCTATATTTACGGAACATCCTGATTTCCCAAATCTGTTCAAAGTAGTGTCACTTTTGTTGTCCGTTCCGGCCACTTCAGCATTTACAGAAAGAGTATTCTTTGTTATGAACACAAAGTGTCGGGACGACAGGAATAAAGTTTCATTAAAACTAATTAAAAATGGACTTTTTTAGTTTACTTAAATCTTTGTTTGCTATGTTTAGAGGCTATTAATATATATATTTAAGAGCGACAGCAATTTGTTACTGGCTGCTAGGTGTAACAAAAAATATGTTTTTAAAAACAAAAAATAAAATACTTTATTTTTATGCCTAGTACTTTTTTTTTAACCTTTTAGTCGAGAAATACTTTATGTAAAGCCTGAAAAGGTGGCAACCCTACTGATGACCTTGACGTCAAATAGGCGTGAAAGGTTAGCACAACTGCTATTGCTTATCTACTTGTGTTATTAAAAGTTTTGCTCTATTTAAAGTTTCTCTGATTACAGTTTTTTGCTTGTGAAAATAGCGCAACTTGCATTTTGATTAAAATTCGCATTTATACGGCGAAAGAAGTAATGGACGCAATTTAGTCGAGCATTCAATCGTTATGAATTACACGTTTCGTTACACCCTGAGTGCAAATGCGGGGGTCTATAACTACTTTGTAACGTAACAAATAAGCTCACGTGTCGATGGGCTTTTGCGCGATTAAATCGATAAAACGACGTAGAATTTTAAGGGCTAGTTGCAACATTTATTATGTATTTTAATGCATTGGAAATTTTACATAATTAGCAATATATGCATATGTTAGATATAAGTATTTCGTATATTATTTGGTAGATAAGTATTTCAACAATATTAACTTTTGTCTAGATAGACTTTCCCACAGTATTTATGTAAACAGCCATAGTTCACTGATAGTGACTAGGCTTTATCAAAAGCATAAGGTATAAATATTGGTACAGGGACATTCATCCCTCAGATGTGTTTCTACTTGTGAGTAATAAACGTATTATCTTTAATTTTGTTGTTTAATTCAGAAGTTGATATTATTAACTTAAATAAGTTGAATTACAACTGAATGATAGAACACTCTCCAAGACGATAGTTGCATTTAAAAGTGATTAGTAACATCTACATCTTGCAACGTATCGACCAATCTGCCCGTGGCTATCTGTACGATATTTACCAGGATTAGTTCGGCAATCTAAATTTATGTTATCTCTAACATAATAAAATCAGGATATAACACATACATTATACCTATTCACATAAGTACCTACTTAATAAGTGAATAGGTGTATCCAAAATTGGAATTCAATAAAAGAAATTGTCTCTTAAAGCTCTTACTACATTAGAGAAGGAAAACTGTATCGAGGATTAGTCGAGTGTGTTATCCACTTATCATTCATTATAAGCAAATCCTTGTTCAACACATCATTAATTTGCATTTTCTTTCCTTTCAAGCTTTACTTTGTTAGGTATCTTCCAGTGGGGATTAAATTAATATTCCCATTTAAAAATTTATTTAAAAACACTAAACCAATGAAATTTTAATTCTTGGTTGGCGGATTTTCAATAAGAGGGTTGAGTTGAAACAGTTGAAACGAGAACATAATCCTAATCTACAAACACTAAAAGTCTGCAAAGTGACTAAATCATACTAATGATGACAGGTTATCGTTAATCAAACCTGATGTACCTACAAGCGACAGAAATTGTAACAGGTCGGTCGTACTAATGCATTCTAGTTCACGAGAAAAAGTAAACACAAGAACTATATCGAAATAACCACTATTAAATGTCAAAATGTTTCATATAGTACTAACAATTTAGTATAGTAATCAATCAGTAATATAACTTAGGACAAACGACCTATTCCAATTCAATCTTAATTACCAATTTTCACCAGGTAGGTTTTTGTTATACATTAAATTATTATCTAGTACGCGAGCGAATCCTAAAAAAGTGCCGACGAGTACTCGGCCCATCTCTAATTTAGATCAAATGTGCATGAAGATAATCAATAAATCAAAATTTCTAAATAGACTTTGACTTATATAACAATGTTNGTTTGGCCCTGCTTTGGCAAATACAGAATAAATTAAGAAAAAAAATATATCTGCCCCCTAAATTGTGGGTAGATTTCGTATGCTTGTTATGTTATACATTATACAAGTATACCGTGTGGTTGTTACATCATTTTTACGAAAAGAGCTAAATTGTTTTTAATAAAAATTGTAACAAGAAAACGTGAAAATTACTTTTTACTTATTATAGTAATTAAGTGTTATATAAAGTTGTACGTTTAATTAATTTGCGCTTACCCAGCGGTTGCTTTTGGAAAACGGATCGATACCAACTCCTTCCCAATTTTTTTAAGTGTTCTTGATCATGCAAGGCATAAATGCTTGATATAATACCACATTGAATACATTTATGTAAAACCGATTGTCCTTCGCACATACTGTAGAAAGGGTAGCCGGGGACGTGAATGTCGGTTGGTAGTGCTCTTATATTTTCGAGTTCATGCCGAATTATTGCTTGCCTTTCTGCAGATGTTAGAAAATCGTCTACGTTCATGCCGTCAACCAGAAAATTTTCTAAGTCATTCACCGTAAATTCTCTCATTTGACCATGTTTATCCCGTTTGACCAATTCCATTTCCTCTGCAATTTCCAAGAATTTGATGGGAGATGCGGAAACGTGAAATTCTAAACCCTAAAACCAATTAATTCGATGTAATTTTGAATGATAAACTATATTTCAGTAGCGATAAGATTTGGTGGAAATGATGAAGAATCGGTGAAAATTGGAAGCCAAAAACCATAGTCAAAAAATAAGTTCTTTTTATTTGCTTTAATTTCTAATGAAATTCCTAGACAAAAATTTTCAGTCTCTCTCCAGTCTCTCAGAGTTTTTCAGTTATTGCCTAGGTGTTTTTATGGATCTCTCACAGTCTCTGTATGAGAGAGACTCGAACGATAAAATTGTTAATTCAGAGATTCGAATCTCTCACAGAGAGACCGAATGAATAAAACTGAAAAATTGAGAGACTTGAGTCTCTTGTTGAAAAACTGGGATCTCTGAAATATGTTGAACTTAGAAAATTTTAATCATGTCTATCGAGACACCACTTATTGAGAGATTTGAGTCTCTCGTTTAGAGACTGGATACGAAATGGGGATTTCTCTATGAGCGACTCGAGTCTCTCGTTCAGAGACGCCAAACAGTTTTTTTTGACAGTCTCTCGATAATCTCTCGCAGCGACACCAGAGAGACTCGATGGGAGACGGAGACTCGAGTCTCGCTTTTAGATACTGAGAGACTGAACATTTTTATCTCGGGATGAGGAATTAAGAAATTGATCCTATTAACGTGAATGATGTTGCTTTGGGATGTTTGACATTATTTTTGGCTTTGTTTCTAAGTTTCTGTCTTCTTAATGTCAGTATGGGGTTAGTTGCGCGGTATGAAATACACGACCAGTACAATCTTGCTCATCATAGCGGGGAATCATTAATGCACCTTATGTTAGCTTACAAACTGATATCTCATGTACTTTTACGACTTGCAAATTTACAATAAACATAGGACAACCGAGATATTAATTAGATATAAATATTGTAGTTTTTTAGAAGGTCCCCTTACTTTTACACTTCTGAAAGTTTTTCTGGAAGCACATTAGTGAATAATAATGAATAATATGGATGAAAATGAAACTTCAGCTTTAAGAAAGAGAGAATTTCTTACATCTTCATCGTACGGCTTCCTTAAAACTACCAATTCCGCACCACCCAGTAGTTTTTTTCCGCGTATTTTTCCGACCAGCCATTTGACTGCTTCTTCTTTAGACGCCGGATGCACTCTAATAACTAAGTAAGTCGGTGGAAATGTTGTGCTATCGGTGGCGGTTATTTCAAAGTCTTCACCAAATTCATCAGTCTTATCAAGGTTTAGTTTTTGTTGAGACATGTGCCCTGAATACACAAATAAAAGTGATAATTAGTAATTAAATTTGCTGTGTGAAGGGAATGCGAGAAAACTCATAGGAGGTTACGTGGTTAGATCAGTTTAAGTTCGGTTAGATAACGACCCTTTAATTTTTATAGTGATATGTGAAATTGTGATGATGGTATTACGGTTTACACAAATTTCAAAATTTTCAATACAATCCACTGGAAAATTAATAAAAGCAGGAAAAATTACTGTTCCTCATAGTACTTGGAGTGAATTACCAAGAGACACAAGAGAATTCTCGATCCCCTTTTTTGAGACAGATTAATTGGTGTTTTCAAAAACTTGCTGTCGTCTTTTGTTTTCAAGTTATAAACGAATGTTGAAAATTTCTAGTTTTAGCTACTTGTCCGTTTATTAATCCATCTAATAAAAGTGTTATTAACTTGAACGAAATTCATGCATAACATTTGTTTGTGTTAACAATTGTATAATTTCGTGTTTTATAGAAGATGTAACAAATTAAGAAAGAGATCTTACCTAAATAAATGGCATAACACCATCGATAAAACAAATACAATAAACATGCTTGTAAAAACGCCACTAAACTAAAATAATCATTACCAAAGAAATTGAACAAAAATGATAACTTTACAGTTTTTAAGCCCATTTAAATTGCTTCAGTATTCATTTAAAGAATGTGTGGCATTAGTAATAACAATATAATAGTTATGATCTAAGAAAACAGAAAAATAATTCAATATATAACTTACGTCATCTATAGCTACCTGGGAAGGAGCACTACGTAGAGTAATAATCATAAATATTAATTAGATAACCGTCAGCACCATTTCGATTTCAATTTAGATATTCTATTTCGTGTTACCAAAATGAAAACTACCTGCGTACTTCTTTAGCGTTGCCTAACAGTAACTGTATAAAAATAGTTAAATTTTTTGGGAATAGGGTAAATTGAACAGAACAAATTACGGGTAAAAGCGACATACGAAAACTGAGATGTATTACATTAACCGATAATAAAATGAATAGTGTATGTATTAAAATAGCATTCTCTGAAATATAAATAAACAGTAACAGCAATTGCCAATACGAAACTGAATTATTTTTATACTACTACATTTGTATAGAAACTCTCGACTGGTATAGCCTTTATTTGTTGCTATATAAATTAATTAGTTGCAAATGCAATTAAAACAAATAAGGGACCACATATCTCAAAAAAAATGAACTTTTACGGCATAGTGCCCATGTATTGAGACTTGATGTACACGTCGACAACTACTAGAACCCAAAGTTTCAAAGAGATTGATAGCCATTGAGAGCCATTTTCCGTAAGGATCTAGCGGGGTCCTTTAATGATACTTGACAATTGTTTCGTTAAAATTGACTCCTTCATGAATGAATGAACTTAAGGCTAATAAGTAACAATTTAGAAATTCAAAAATGATTGTTAAAGGTGTACGTTTGGAGCGCGGCGCTGTACAGGTGCGAAACATAGAAGGTAGACGCGGCGGGAAAGAGAAGGCTAGAAGCCATCGAAAGGTATTACCGGCGAATGATGAGGATACCGTGGATAGAGAAGGTTAGAAATGAAGAGGTATTAGAAAGAATAGGAGAACAGAGGACTATAAAAGTCAATAAGAAATAGGCGAGATAGGTTGGTAGGACACCTTATCAGGCAAGGTCTATTTAGAGACATATTAGAGGTAGAAACAGAGTTAAGAGGAGTAAAGGTGGACCTAGATTAGATTACTGTTCACAAATACGAGGGTGGATTGATAAGTTTCCGGCCTGACCAAGAAAAACAAGGTTTTTAAAAATTTTTTTTTTTTATTTCTCAACATAATCTCCTCCAAGGCTGATACATTTCTCATAGCGGTGTTCCAGTCTATTAATGCCATCTCTATAGACTGATTCGTCAAGCTCCTCAAAATAACCATTTACAGCTTCGATTACTTCTTCATTGTCCGCAAATCTCTTACCGCCAAGCCATTTTTTGAGATTAGGGAACAGAAAATAGTCACTCGGGGCTAGGTCTGGAGAGTAAGGAGGGTGCGGCATCAATTCAAACTTTAGATCGTTGATTTTAGCCGTCGCAACGATTGACGTGTGCGCTGGTGCGTTATCGTGATGAAACAAGATTTTTTTCTTCGCCAGATGAGGTCGTTTAATTTTCACCTCGTGGCTCAAACGTTGCAATAAGTCTGCGTAGTATTGACCAGTGATAGTATTACCCTTTGCAAGGTAATCAATGTATATAATACCTCTTGCATCCCAAAAAACAGTAGCCATAACCTTGTTCGCCGAAAAAATTGTTTTTGCCTTCTTTGGAGTTGGTTCCCCTGGTCCAATCCACTGTTTAGACTGTTCTTTGGTTTCAGGAGTGTAGTGGTGGACCCACGTTTCGTCAACGGTTACGAATCGACGCAAAAATTCGCTTGGATTACGCTTATACAATGACAAATTTGCGGTAGAAATGTTTTTTCGAATCAATTTTTGGTCGACTGTTAGCAAACGCGGCACCCATCTTGCACAGAGCTTTTCCATATGCAAATGTTGGTGCAAAATATGTTGCACACGTTCATATGACATCTTACAGGTCTCAGCTATCTCACGCACTTTCAATCTGCGGTCTCCCAGCACTATTTGATGAATTTTTTCGATCATATCTGGAGTTGTGACCTCAACGGGGCGTCCTGAGCGAGGCCCATCAGAGGTGCTCACACGACCCTTTTTAAACTCGGAAACCCACTGCTTAACGGTTGAATATGACGGGGAGGATGTCCCCAGTGTTGAGTCCATCTCTTTTTTAATTTCCTTCGGCGTTAACCCCTTCAAATAAAAGTATTTGATGACAGCACGATTTTCCTGCTTTTCCATTTTTACGAAAACCACAGAGGCGTCTTGTTCAGCGTGCTGTCAAACCTACACTAGCAAGGAGATCGGGCTGAAACTATAGCTACAAGCTATCCAAGGATGGTACTATAGAATGTCACCTCAAGGTAGGCCTAGTGGCGTCATCTCTTGGTTAGGCCGGAAACTTATCAATCCACCCTCGTATTTAAGCTAACCCTCCAACAGGGAAATGCATTTGTTGCAATGCAATGTAGTATGAGGGAAAACAGTAAAATTGATAGAATACTAATTCGATTGTTTTTGACTTAATACACTACAAAATCAGTTGCATTTAGGAGTTTTAAGTTAGGGAAGTTTGACTATATAGATAATAATCTATGTTCGTAACACTTCCATTGGTTTCTTTGTATTATTCATGCGTTCGTTCGTTGCACCGTCCTTTTTGGAGAAAATACTTCCGCAGCCTTATGCTTGACGAAGCAAAGTTGCCAAAATATTAGGAAACCATTAGACGTACGCCTACCTCTAAGTTTGTTAATCCGCTCGTGAATTCCCCATAACTTGTCGATGGAAGGATCATTAAGATTCTCATCGTCACCGCCACCTGGTTTTGAAGCTGTGCCAATACTGCTACTGGAATCCTTATTGCTGAGGGAATAATCTTCCTGGAACATCGCGGCTACCTGAAATAAATGTAACACATGAGCGGAACTTTCAAAATTATTCCATACTTTTTCGATCACTAAAGTATAGTAAACCCGGTGATGACTTTTACTGAAAAGTCATGATAATGAAAACCATATTTCATTAAGTTTTAACAACATTTTGATTTCCGTAACGTACTGGCTTTTAGAGCTACACATTTTTAAAATTGTTATTTAGATTCTTCTAAAACAAAAATGTAAATGATATGATATTTCAAGATATCTTAAATGTCTCCTATTATTAGTACTTTGGAAAATATCGTTAAGAATCCAATGAAGCGATAGGCAGGACAAGGTAAAGAACTCATAGATCCTTTTAGTGTTTACATGACAAACGAGTTTTCTTTATAAATTTTTTATTTTTTAGAAGGTCATTTACTTAAACTTTTCTTCAGGGGGTACACGGAAATGCTGTTGAGAGGTAAAAAGAAATCAAGCGTTTACAAAATTAAAATATAATTATTACTTCCAAATGATAATAAATAATAATTCGTGTATGATTTAGTATACAGGTACAATGTGTCTGTACATTATTTTACAATGACATTTTTGACTTTTTGTTAGATGCATGGGTGACCGGAGTCAAATTACAAGTCGATAAAATCGATAAAGATACATATTTCTTTATCAACTTTTTGTAGTTTAGTTCCTATTAAAGTTAGTAGTAACTCTCCGAAATAAAATTCTAGTGAAACAATCCTTTGGACACACTAACACAGATCGTGAATTTTATGAAAAAACTATTCTGGATTAATACGAAAAGATAAAACATTTGAGAATCACCATCAACGACGAAAATTTTTTGGTATTGCTTTTTTGCTGAATAGTTAAGGATGTTTGGGAGGTATGTCAAAATTCTACGAGACAAATAAAAATTTGGGAGAACGTTCCTCATTCAATTCTAAAACTCCTGTAAATATTACAAATCGATTCACTAAACCGTTAAAAAGTTATTGAAATTTTACAAAATAACCATTTACAGCTTCGATTACTTCTTCATTGTCCGCAAATCTCTTACCGCCAAGCCATTTTTTGAGATTAGGGAACAGAAAATGGTCACTCGGGGCTAGGTCTGGAGAGTAAGGAGGGTGCGGCATCAATTCAAACTTTAGATCGTTGATTTTAGCCGTCGCAACGATTGACGTGTGCGCTGGTGCGTNACTTGATAATATAATGATAATATTTATAATTGTCTGAAATAAATGCAATTTTAAAGTTTTAATTATTATTTAAACATATTAAAAAGTTTTACGCTCATTATTAATAGAGATTGAAACTAAATATTTTTTTGTTTCGAAGTTGAAATCAAGGCATATTCACTGCCAAAAGTCAGTTAAAAAGTTTCCATATTATTCGTTATTTTTTATTTTATTCAAACCGTATACTTTTTCTAGTATAGATAGTATTTATTTACCTCATGATATGCTGCAAAACCTAATTAATCACGAATTTAAAAAAAAATACTGTTCCTGAGGGATAGAAAATTCATTTTATTTGGTCGCCGATGATCCTTGAGGACATCAACACGACCGAAGCCGAAGTATTGTCATGAATAATGCTCCACACGTATGCAAAATTTCAACCGCGTTCGATAACTGGACCGTAAAAAATTTAGTTGCAAGATTTTTATTAGACAGGCAGAGATGGGAGAGAGATAGTAAAAAAGAAAAAACAAGAGTTAGATAAAAATTTTAAATTTGAAGTCAGTGGCACCAATCAGTTAAAGGAATTTCGATCTTGCCATGTTTGTTGTATTTTTCTGCACCTGTATAACAATTCCGATGTAGGTTACGTAATGAATTAATCTTGAAATCTTGATTCGCGATTCACAACTCGCGACCAACGGCGAGCCTGCGCACAGAAGGTATATTATCGTCGTTGTATATGACCCACATGATCTCAAATGTGAGTTCAATATACTACTTTTGCCATTTACTAAAACCTATTTCTGTATCTGGTTACATAACTTAGTTATTATGGTTTCTTATGATAAGTTTTATTATTTTACAGTTTCAATTTGTTAACAACAAGCAGTGTATATTATGTACTTGTCGTATCTGGATTGTTAATCTGTTAAAAAATGTTTCTTTTTACAGCACATCTTTGGGTGTTAGTTGATGAATATTTATGGTAAAAGGGTAAAAGTCTAGTTTATATTTACCTTTCACCAAGTGTTTTTTTTTTGTTTGAAAATAGCTTGAACTACCTTGAGTAGACATTCATACATAAATAGATACACAACTGGCACACTGAACTATACTGAGAAAGTCTACATTTCCCTATAAACGCAAACATAATGTATACAGTAAACTTTTCATTATCGTTGGATACAAATAAATAATATTGAAGCGTACAAAGGTTTAGTAAAACAGTCAAGTGAATCAAAGTGTAACATACATGGACATAATTTACATAATATAAATTAAAGATAAAAAAGGCTATAAATAATTTTATTACATCTGATACAATTGCCCATCATGGTGCTTTGAGTAATTTCATAGATTTTTCTCACTATCTTTTATGTTTTACTTATAGTTTTTTACAATTTAATCTGTTCTTCACAAGTAACTAGAAATTCGTAAAATAAATTTGAGCTTTTTAAGACGCTTCAAATGTGGTATGTGGTGCTCTCTTTAGGCGCAATTGGTAGACCTACCATGCATATTAAATGAACATATTAATTACTGTATATATTTACGGTAATCTTTTCTCTAACTATTATTATTCCTCTACTGTTTATGTAAATGTTAAAAATCGGTCTAATTAAGCAAACCACTGCAATAGGATAACACAGGGGAGCTTTACTTATGTTGGCAGTAAAATAAAGCTACATGTGAAGTTCTGTAGAACGTTGTATGATGGAGCCAGCAGACCTAAAAGCTTATTTTATCCATAACGTAATTAACGCAATACAATTCTTAATTGTTTGATAAAGTATATTGAGTACATAAAATAAATCTGGCAAAGCTCGATAAATTATTTTTGAATTACAACATGCAATTTTTGAATTTATTTTACTAGAAAATATTAACACGAACTACACCTGCACTTCAAAGAACTTTTTACATACCCACAAGCTTTTATAAAAGAAGAAAGACTGCTTTTGAATAAGTTTGTTTGTAAAAGTTAAATATGAGAGTAATTTTTGATCTTGGCGTTATTGCAAACTGTTTGGCAAATAGTACTGGAAATCATTGGGTTTGCTAAATTTTTGCAATCTACTATTTATACTTTTGTGGTGGTAGAAATGGCGATGCTTTCTACTATTTTGTTTAATATTAAAGCTAAGTATTACGAATGAGAATTAATTTTGAACTAGTTGGATTACAGAAAGCAATACGTGTTTCAAAACACTGCTGCCACTTTCACTTTTAGAGGACTGAGAATAATATTCTGTTCTGCCGTTTTTTTTCTCTTACAATTAATCAGAATACTTTTGAAATTTTCGTCCTAACTGAAATAAAGTTTCTTCAGCAGTTTAGGTATACATCATCATCATCATCATCATCATCATCATCTTCACCATCATAAGGTCGTCAGGCCTAAGACTGGTTGGACACGCACCTTCACTCCTTCCTAGCCTGAGTTAATATTTGTATTTCTCCAAAACTAGAACAACCCACATCCTTAATTATTTGCGAACAGTAATCCAATCTTTTTCGAATTTCTAAATTAATCTTTCGCGAGCATAAAAGTGACTTCTTTTTATTGAAGGCGACTCAATCCTGCGTTATCCTCTGCTTTATATCCCTCCTACTACTCCTTCCGTACTGACTTATCTGACTTTCTAGATACCTAAAATCAGCTACTAATCTTACGTCTCCTATCTTTATATTCGCTCTTTCCCTACTTTTTCTTCCCTTTTATTTTTTTCATACAATATTGTTTTGTCAATACAGCTTCTATTTTATTTAAAGCTATCTCTATCTACTCATTGCTAGATGCTAATACTGCTATATCATCTGTAAATCTAAGCATACTAATCTATGTATCACTCTTCTATCTTTATAACTCATCCCTACATTTTTACGCATATACACACGTACATAAGCATTTTATATACTGACGAATTGAAGCAGTATTTGTCTTGCAGTTTTGTCTTGTCTTGTCTTGGTTTTGTACATTTAACAAAAGCAAAACTGATTAACAAGATGCTTTCAGTGATAGTAGAAGCTTTTCCTCTGTCAAATATTGTAATGAATAGGCAGACAAACTTTTTCTGTTCTCATACTAACTTTTTTGTTTAAGTTCTATATCTTTTCCATACAAGTTTAAAAAAAAAAGGATATCCATTACTTATATTTGTGTGAGAGTTTTTGTACTTACTCAATATGGAATACACCTACTATCTTGTTTCAATGTAAGAAAGCAAGTTGAAAACGGAAAATGTAAAAAAGTTTTACTATATTATTAAAGCAGTTGAAATGGAAATATTTTCTGTGTAATGGAATGAAAACAACTGGACGAATAATAATAGAAACAGTTTGGGTTAGCAGACTCTAAAAAAGTACCACGTGCGAAATTTTTTGCTACTTACTATCCACATGCCCCATACGCTAAAAGTATTTATTTTTAGAATTATTCAACTTAATAATTCAATAATTTTGACCTTTTTGTTCCATGTAAATCTAATACCAAATGCAAAATGTTTAGTTTGGTAGACCAACTGGGCAGTTTTATAAAAAAGAAATATATCTCTGGAATTTACTTATTAGCTAACATGTACAGTCCTACTCTAAAGTAAAAAAAAGCTTTATTGAATGTAATTATCAAACCCTGCTTTTGAATATTATATCCTGTATATATTCGGTGAGATCATTGCTCAATTATTGTTTGAAATGTTAAACGCTAAATTAATAATTAGATTAGATGTTACTTGGTAACTTAAGATAATCCTTGAAATACATAACGTTCTGTATTAGGATACTATAAAGTTCATAGTTAGCACTCATTCGCATTATATAAATGGAAAGCTGTACCATAAGTAACTTTAGTCTTCAACAATACAGTAAAATGAACTGAAGAAAGCACCACCGACCAACTTTTGGCCCGTTTTCTTATTTTTATTATGCATTCATAATTTGCAAATAGGAATATTACCATCAAATCTGAAGTCTGAGATAATCTACAATAATAAAGTTATTACACGAATGTGATTTTGGAAATGAAGCCTTACATATAGGACTGGATGAAGAACCTACTGTTTTATCATTGGTTATACTAACATTAAACTGTAGTGTTTTTAAATTTTTGCTTTTTTTTAACATTAAACTTATTGATATGTTCATTAGACATTATTAAAATTAATACTTTTTTACCTATTTTTTGTGAAACTTAAAAATACTTTAGAATGATGTTATTAATAATACCTAAATACTGCACTGACATAATACTCAATTTATGTTAAAACGATTCTATCAAATCTGTTTATTCAATAACCATATTTTAAATATTTGCGTATGAAAAAATCCAAAAGGGTAATTAAAATTAATCGGTTAATGAGAAGTACTCAACATGTAAGAAGTCAATGTGAATCTGCAAAAGCAATGTTTATGCTGTTATCTAAGTCTCTAGAATTTGATTCAAAATGGACCAATTGAGGAAAACTTAATGTTAATTGTAGATATTAAGAAGATGACTTACCTGATTTACATTTTAATAAAATATCTATTTGTTTCAAATAAACAAATGTTGAAAAACATTTAAAAATGCAAACGTACGTCAAATTAAAAACACTACATTTGTGAAAATGATTTGTATGTTTATTCAATTAACACGCTAGATTCAGAAAAAATGCTTAACTGTCAAATTGCATCAGTAAATTGCTAGTAATATGATGTAAAATGTTTGGTTTGAGTGATGTTCTGACCATTCAAAATTGGATTGTTTTTCTATTGGCTTATTTAACTACTTTGTGTATCGTTCTTAGTGTTTCTGTATTTAAAGGTAATTAATTTATTTATACGTACTGAAAATTTTTACTTTTTTAACCCTAACGTAATTTGCATTTATTTACTGAGTACGGAAAAGTGAAGATTAGAAACTATTTAATGTATTTATCTATTACTTTAATTTATTTTGAGTTATAATACGAAGAATTTAGACTTTAAGAGATTAAGGAAAGATGTATTACGTATTACGTTACTGTAAAAGACTGAAAGATGGTAGTTGTTAAGATTTTCCAGTAAAAAGTCTTAAGAGTTCGTTTTTCCATCATTAGGTGCATATTCTGGGAACGTTTGCTGAACGTTTTCAGTTTCACCTTCGTTAAAATATTAGTTTTTGCTTTGCTGTTATTTTTTATCTTTTAACAATTAACCAGAACATTTATGAGATTTTTCGTTTTAAGATGCCTGCCTTTTTTGTATTGGTTTTGCAATTAGGTAGACGAAGACTATGAGCAAAACTTATTAACAAAATTCTTTCAATGATATAATATTTTTGTAAACATTGCCGATCTTTTTAAATAGTTTTATTGAATTTTTGTTTTTTCGGTACACGTTTGGAGTTAAAATTATTAAATTTGTAATTAATTATGAGCAAAACAAAACTAAACTTTTTCACATTGTAATTGTGGTGCACAAGATACATTTGCAAAATTTTTTGTGAAGCCGATAAAAATTAAAATTAGCAATGAAATAAAATAAATCCAAAATATTAAAATCCAGATGTAAAATTGAAAATTTTCGTTTCTTTAAAATTTAGTTTACTATTGTTTATGTTTAACAGCTTTACATGTGTCTCCTAGAATTACTTATTTACTATTTTTTGTGATTAACAGTGTAACTCCTTAACCTGCTTAATATAAATTAAGGGCACCATAGGAGTAGTAAGGCCGGCACTGAAAATGCGCTCATTGTTTTGAAGCTAATATAGCCTTAAAAATTTTTGAAAAAATGACAGTAAGTAGAAGTTTTATTGACTCTAACTATTGTTTCAGATGTATTGCTGTACTGTGTGCACGAAGCCAAAGGCAATTGTTTGATACGAAATTCCAGTAACAATCTTCGTTCACGTCGTAGTAAGACAAAATCAAGATGCAGCCATAAAATTGTTAAGCCCTTTACTGTAAATTCTACTCCTTAATAAGTACTTGGTCTCATATAAATTGATTAATAAAAGGTATGAGTAAATGTTGATAGTAAGTACATCTTTTCAAAATAAATCTTTAATGCAATTACATTATAAGAAAATAATAAGTGGAAAAAATAGATGTAATCATTATGCTGTAAATAAATTAGTCCAAATTAAGTTTTAAATTTGATTTCTTTGTAGTTGTAACAGTGAAGGTTTACCTGGTAGTTTGTAGAAATATATAGGG